ATGTAATATTTTCCCTATAATTATTACAAAAACACAAAATAAGTATAAATAAGTATTTATATTTGTGTAAAAGCTGTTTAGATTGTCAAATAGCCTGTGTTTTTAGGGTTATTAATGAAGTTCGTGTACTCAGACCAGTAATAATTGGGGTCACAGGTTTTTGCCATGGATACTTTGTGGGTCAGAAGATAAAAAGTTTGGGAACCACTGCTCTAAACTGCCCCACAAGCAAAATCAGTTTGACCAATCACGGTTTTGCCAAGCTCCGCCCACACCCATCATCCACCTGCTGATGACAGGTGGTGATTCTCTGCAGCTGCTTTTAGCAGTCATGGCGCCAGTGATTGTGATCATCAGCCTCCTATTGGACAGCTCCAATCACAACAATTACATCAGTAAAAACAAACAAAAATCTTTTCTTTTTAATTATTTTTTATTCCTGAAAGATTTTTTTTCTTGTTTGATATCATTATAGAGTACATGACATTTATCAAAATGCTGTACAAAAACCCAGGAAGGTGACACGACTTACAGCATACAGATATAAATAAACATAAAAAAGAGGCACTTCAGAATAATAAACATCCTCCTCTCCACACACACACACACACACACACACACACACATACACGTCTACATGTTCAGTACATAAAAACAAGTCCATGTCAGCATCCAGTCCACCTGAAGGGTGTTTTTACGATTAAATCAGATAACAGGATGTAGAAACCTTGTCAGGTGATCAGAAACAAGGCAGGACTCTACAGGAAGAACAGCTGATCAAGTCAGGAAGAAGGGCTGAAACCCCAATAAAAACACAACCTGTTGCACATCATACATGGCTTTAGTTTCACAGATTTCACAGATCTATTGCGAGCAGAACACTTGGAATCGATAACTACGCTACTTTGTCTTTAAGGTTAACACAGGCGATGCAACGTTATCACCTCAGAGGTTTTAGAAACGAGTCGTTCAGAACTCCCGCACCTTTACAGCCAGGACTTTCGACATAAAATACTACATTATTTGTGTGTTCGAGATCATTATAATAATTATGGCACGGGTGAACAATCTGTTACTGTTATAATGTGCAGCAGCTCACAGACACATACAGTGCTTTGACACCGGAAGACATAGATTGCCCAAAAAATTCAACACACTTAAAAAAATCACTTAAAAAAACACTTCACAAACAAACCACTTCAACTCCACGCAAAATAAATTTCACCTCGCATGTTTTAATCTGGAATAAAAAGGCGTTCAGGTGGCGTTACCTACCTCCTGACAAGTTCCTGTTATTTGGCAATAACAAATAAAACTAAACCCTTAAATGATCCATTTTATACTCAAAGTAGGCATCTGTAGTGATCTCACTGAAATGTACTTCTGGCTCTTCCTTAAATTTTCTGAAGAAATAAGTGAAAAGGATCAGTAAATATTTACAACCCAAATTTCCAAAGTAGTTGTGTAAAATGGAAATAAAAACAAAAGGCAATGATTTGCAAATCTCATACTTTATCGACAATAAATAAATAAAAAAGCGCGTTTTGTTAAAGCTAGCTTTGCAGAGTAGGCCTTTTGTTGAGCCTCTAACAGTAAATTATAGTTTCAATTAACCTAATTCATTTGAAGAATCAGATTTTTGTAGTTTCTCTTTAAATCACAGTTTTCCATGTGTTTTCCCAGTAGCAGGTTGCAGGTAGTAACACCACTGAAAGCCATTTTATTCTTTCATATCTGAAACATAACAAGTCCCTAAAAAGTTGTATTTTTTTGCTCTTGTGTACAATTTTCGGAGGAAGAGTGAACTTAATCTATAAGGTAGAACAATATCAGAGTAAATATGTGGTTATGTCGTCTATTAACTAAGAAACTGAGGGTTTAAGGGTGAGTTTGTTCCAACTGAAGACAAATATTGCTTATCAGTCACTTGTCTTTGCCATCTCTCTGTCTCTGCAGACAAATCAAATCTACCCGACCATCCTTCCATGTGTTGACTTCATCTGTACAGCACCTAGAAACCTCTCGCTCCATTTGAAGCTCTGGTTACATGTAAGGAATCAGAGAGCTCCTTAAAACAATCAGTTTCAGTAATCAGACTGAAACCTCAGCTGGTTTAGGAGAGCAGCTTCAGAAGATTCAGTCTGAACTGGTTTCGATGGATTTTAGAAATTTATTAGACAAGTTTCAGTTTGGCTCAGAGGTTTCTAAAGTGTTTGTTTTGTAGTTAATTTATAATAAGCCCTTAATCTGAACTGATCCTAATCTCATGTTTGAGACCTTTGTCATTTTATTGTCCTGAAACTTGGTTCTCCTGTAGTTTTATTTTCACTAACCTGGTAGATCTGAGGAAAAGCCCATGTTCCCTACAGAGGAGAGCCTCTCTCTACTCGTCCCTCTCCGTTCTGCCACCTATGACCACCAGCGCCCCCTGCAGTCCCACCAGGTTAGAACCCAGCTCCGGGCAGCCCTTGGGTCCTGACCCGGTCAGGTCCTGGCACAGAATGGCATCATGGGAAGACACTTTGACCCTGCTACAAGATAAAGCGGCGCCCTCGCTCCCCTCCTCCCATCGGTGGTGCTCCGGCGTCGGAGCGGGCGCTCGGATCCCGCTGCTCCCGGCGCCCGAGCTGCCGCCGGCTCGTTTCTTAGAAGGTGGACCCCAGAGGAAGGCGTGGCGGGGTCTGTAGTGCTGGCGGGCGAAGCGGAGCAGGCGTCGGCGCGTGGCCGGCATGCGGACGGTGTAGACGTAGTACTCCAGGACGCTGTGCTGCATGTTGGGCAGGGTACCGTGGCACAACGACTCCTCCAGAAAAAGGCGGACGAGCGGAGCCTTGAAGCCCTCGAAGCCGAGCTCCCCCAGGGACTTCAGGATCCGAGTGATCCGCAGGTAGTTGTGGTGGGATCTGAACGGGCAGAAGGAGAACACGGTCAGCTATTAAGAGCAGGAGAAGAACACAAACCCTTCTTTATCACCCACCACCTTTCATGCCAGACTTTTAGGGTCACGTCCAACACATTCTCACTTCCAAGTCGTCACATAATGATGCTTTTCCAAAGTTCCCTCTGCGTCCGGTTTTGACACGTCAGGTATCCACTTGCGTCAGTTATTGACGAGATGGAGTGGAATCCGTTGTCATAATTTCAGAAAGTGTAGAAAAAGCAGAAAAATAACCATCCCAAAGCCTAAAATTACCTTTATTCACTCTACCTGTCCCTGACCCTAGCACCTAAAACTAACAATCAACCCTGATCACTAAACTTTGCCATTTTTAGAAAGTGTAGGAAATTCACATTAACTCTATGTCCCAAACCCTAAAATTACCTAATATTCACCCTAGACATCCTATCCCTGAACCCACTACCTAAAATTAACCATGAACCCTGATCCTTAATCCCTAATATTAACCACGGACCCCAATTCAAAAACCACTATATTTTGCGTCCTGTCGCCGATGGAACCCGGAAATGCCTGGTGCGTCAAGCAAAAGGGTTACCCGATGTGTCAAAATAAGACGCAGAGGGAACCTTGGAAAAGCGTCAATACGGGACGAGTCGGGAGTGAGAATGTGTTGTCATGTCACAACAAAAGATGAAAATAAAAAAGTATCAGCCGTTATGTTCATCTCTTCAAAACAATTAATGAATCGCACATGAGTACCAAATCTGACAGGATGTGTTAGTGTTAGGGGAGTTAACGGCACCAACTTCCTTACCTTTGGGAAATCGGAAATCTGCGGATTCTTTGATAAGATCGGTGGAGAAGATTAGCTTTTCTACTACCAGAAAGGTCTGAAAATCAGCCACTGTCCTCTTTTGCTCTGCTCTGAGCACTACCTAATATCCAGTTAAAACAAGTTTGTTTTGTTTCAAGGGTATTGTTCAAAGTATTTCAGTAAAACAACATTTGAGCATTGAAGTTTTATTGTGATTTTATAATATCTGACAATGCTACATATTTAAAAAAATTGGTATTGGCCAAAATCGGAATTGGCAGGTCAAACTTTTTAAAGATCAGAGATTGAAGATCAGCAAGAAAACTGGAATTGGTGCACCCCCTAGTTAGTGTTGCATCAAACTTTAACTCTAAAGTTGACTAATGCCTGGTAAGATAGTTGTGATGATTTTTGGCCCAATTCTCATCTTCTGACAATTTTCAGGACACTTCGATCATGGTGATGGCTCTTAAGATAAACTTATGAGATATTCCTGTAGTGTGTTCAGAGTGAACTAGTCGACTCTGGAAGGACGTCTGGACCGCTCCCACCTCAAATCGGGGATATTCAACACGTTGGATTATCTTAGCCAGATATCTGTGTGGTGTTCCCCGAGGACAAACAAGCTCACCTTGTTACTAAATAAAATAAATTTGTTTTTAAAGTCACTGTGTAATGTTCAGGTTCTACTAATACTCAGTAAGTATTCAGTATCTTTGATACTCAGTATCGGTATTTGTAATACTGAAGTATTCAAACTTGTTTGAGAAAAACTGGTATGGGGACACCCATAATGCCAACAGTTAATGCAAAAGTCTTAAGCAAATATGTTGCACAAAGTACATTAGGGTCAGTATGTGTCGAGGGTGATGCTCAGTTACAACCACACCAGGTAGTTCAGGACATATTTTGCTAAAACATTATTGTCCCTTTTACATTTAGCAGCACATCATAACTGATGTAGAGATAAAACAACCTAACCAGGTTCAATCCCAGGTCTTAATAAAGAACCAACAATGGTGGTAATCTGTACTGGTCAATAATCTAAACAATCATAGATCAGATGAAGAACTCTTATGCTGCGTTCACACTGAACACGATTTCAGCTTCAAAATCGCAGCCAACGCTGCAACGTCTACAACGTCACTTGTGCACTTTGAGGTCAGACGCAGGACAGCTCTTGAAGCGCTGCACGGCAACAGCCTCCCCGCCCCTCCCTCCTCTGTCGGGCTCTGTTTAATGTCGGACGAGGAAGTGGCTTTGCTTTATTTACAGAGAGCAAGAGCATGTCACGTTCATAAGATAATTAATTCATAATTAATTCACCAGATAATTCAGAGACATTCTGAGTTTCATCACCCAGGAGCTGTGGGAGAGGCTCACAGCTCGCTTTCAGGACTATTTTTGTCCCGAGTCCAGTCTGATGAGCCGCTGCCACGCATTGGTGCAGATATCTCCTGTCAGGACACCGACTGCAGGCACTCGATTTCAGCTAAAGAGCTCCTCTCCATCTGTTTCAGGTTAGTGGACATCATTCAGTAAACTGTCCCTTCGGGAAATATGTCGCTACGTCACACAGTGGAGTCTCTCTGATTGGTTGATGCTGCGCGTCGAGCTGCAAAAGTTCAGATTTTCTAACTTCAGCGATTTGCGCCTCAGCGTGTCGAACGCTCAGATCGTTCAAATCGTTCAAATCGCGCTGCTCTAATCACGCTTGAGGCGCCGCAGCACTTCCTGACGCTGATTAGAGTGCGCCCACCATAGACTTTGCATGTAAACCTGCTGCTCCTGATGCTGAAATCGCGTTTGGTGTGAACGCACCATTAAAGCTTTGACAACAGAGTCTAGAGGATTATTTAGTGTTCCTAAAAGTTCCTTGGTTCACCCTGGTAAGTGTATCTAGAGCAGAAATAAGAGCAGTTTGGATCCAGACCCAAATTTATTGCTACATTTCAGGATTATCACGATGTAGTTGTGCTTGTTTTCTCACATTTATGGTTATTCATCTTAAGAGATGCAGTTTAAATCTTGGCAATTATTAGTTTATTTTTCCTGCGGAGGACTTCAATAATTGTTTAGAGACATAGGGGAGATTTAAAATTAGCATTATAAAGTGTTAATACCGCAATAAACATTTTATCTGAGCAATCAGACCCGTTAAAATCAGAAGCGAGAGCAGAGAAAGCACCAGCAGACGCGTTGATGGTTTGGACTTAATTGTTTTCATTCAGCTGAGTCCTCAGAACCTGCCCCACTCCTTGGAGAAGACTTTGGACGATCGCCTCACTAAACCGGTAAACTACGTCTCCAGTTGTGTATCTGCAAGCTGCAGCACAGTGTATTTGTGTGTGTGTTCATGTGCAGTGTATTAACTCACTCGTTGAGGTGCTGGAAGCGTTCCTGCCAGTTGGGGGCCCGAGCAACGTTTCCATTTTTATCCAACAGTTTGACTCCATAAAAGTCCAACATCAAGGCGTACGCCGCCACGAATCTCCGCTTTGCTTCCCGAGTGCTTTGGAATTCCTGACAGGATTCAACACAGGAGGTTAGAGGAAAAACAAACTGACAACACAAAAAATACAACCTGGAAACAGGCTGGTTTCATCCAGGACACAGCTGAGATCAGCCAGAATGACATTAAAGTAAACCTAAGATAACATACAGTATCTGAATAAATATACGGAGTTATCAGTGAGTTTGCATAATTATGACGAAAAGATTACATTAGCAATTTATTTGCATTTAAATTATTTTCTGGAAATCATCTGGGGACCCTCAATTGATGTTTCATGACCCACAGAGGGATCCAGGCCCCAACTTTGGGAACCACTGTGCTAATGGTTCTAATGGATACGGAGGAGGATCAGGGTCACTGTGTTTATTTATTTATCCTCTCAGAATTCAGATTTTTTTTCTAGGAATTCTACAAAAGTCAGAATTTAAAAAAAGTAACCAACATTCTAAATGGACTCATCTCACAGCATTTGATGTAAAAAAATTTATGCACAGAATCTACAATAAGGGCTGCATGTTCCACAGAGAACCAGAGTCCCAGGAGCTGAGGTGGACCTCAGTCCTCTGAGTTGGTCCAACTGTTTCAGCTGAAAAAGTCTTGAAACAAGAACTGAATGTGACCTACTTTGATCTCATCCTGAGTCAGTTCATGTGCGTAGAAGTTGAGCCCTTGCTCTCGTAACGGAAAGAGCCTGGAACACAGAAAACAAACTTCAGATTAACTAGAGCTCCAGATTAGACAAACTCCAGATTAGACAAACTCTGTATAAATAAGCATTAAATTAAAACTAAAAAACAAACTCCTGATTAAAATAAAAATCTAGAATAAACAAAATGCTAAATAAGCAACAAATTAAGTAAACTTTAGGAATAAATAAATTCTAGAATAAATCAACACTAAAATTAGATAAAGAAAAATCCTCCATCCATTCTGTCCTTGTTCTTAATCAGAGTCAGGGTGGGGCTGGAGTCTGTCCCAGTAACTCATTCTCACTCTCCACTCGTCAACTTATTACCCCCTCATGCCAGTCATTGCCGCCCGCGGCTTTTCCGGGTTGCGCCACATTGGCGTCTTTGGGTTGGGGGTCGGTGGTTAATATGAGGGATCAGGATTAATGGTTAATTTTAGATACTGAGTTCAGGGATAGGCTGTATAGGGCTAATAGAAGTTAAATTTAGGGTCTGGGATGGTTAGTTGTCGCAAATTTCCTACTCTTTTCAAAAAAATATGACAATGCACTCCTCCTCCTCCTCATCTCGTTAAAGGAGACCAATTATGGGTCCTAGAAATTTTTATGGTATGTCTATGGGCTATCCAGACCATGTTCATTCAATTTAATGCACAAAATAATTCTCAGA